TGTACATATTATATATGTATCTATATATAACAGACAGGCACAGAATTGCCCTCATTCAAGATGGCCGCGGGCCCTTCCTCCCGCTCCAAACAGGGGAGTACCGGCTGCCCTGACCCAACATGGCCTCTCCCCTTTCTCAGAGCGCCTCCAAGCCTCCGCGGGGGCTTCACTTCCGGGACGGCCCCCCTCGCGCGGCGATTGGCGGGGAGCTGGGCGCTCTGTGCGCGGCGATTGGCCGAGGTGGGAGGAAGCACCCGGAAGTGGGCGTCTGGAGCCGGCTGCCTGGCTTTCCACGCGGGTTTGGGAGAGAGAGGAGAGCGGCCGCCATGGAGGAGGGAAGGGCCGCCGGGCGGGAGGAGGCCGGAGACCCCAGGAAGGTGAGGGGGGAGCGGGATTCCCCCAGGGGGCGGGACAGATGCCCCTTGGGGGGCCCTGGCCATTCTGGAGCCTGGATTCCTGCCTTGCTCTCTCCCCTTCATTCGCCATGAAGTTTCCTAATACCAGTTATACCATATGGCTTAGACCATTTGCTAAACTTCTCTGATTATCCCTGCTGTGTTTTATTTAATGGAAATTGAGACTGGTTTCCTAGGTGAAGCTTTTTCCACATTCTAAACAGTCCCTTGCAGGAAATATTTCATGGAAAATTAGATTCACCAACTGAATGAAGCTCTTTCTACATTCCAAGCACTGATCTGGTTTCTGACCTGCATGAAGCTTTTTCCAAACACTCCCCTGTATGAAGTATCTCATGGGAATTGTGGGTGGAGCTGCGAAGGAAGCTTTTTCCACATTTCAAGCACTAATTTCTTCCCCCCGTTAGTTCTTTCATGTGAAGTGAGGCTCTCCTTCTGAACGAAGAGCTTTCCTTGATGGGAAGTGGGCTGGGAGCTCCGACTAAAGTTCTCTCCACACTCTGAATATTTATATGGTTTCTCCATTGTGAGGATTTTTCTTGTTGTCTCCCTTCTTCCTTTCCAATTCACCACCTACAATCTGCTGTTATTTGGCAGTATTCTCATTTATAATAATAATAATAACAATAATCCTAGCCCGAGGAAGAAATTGAGGCTGAAATGATTGAACAATGCAAATGACTGCTTGTGAAAGAGGAAGAAGGGAAGGGAGTTACTGCCTTTTTTGGCTGGTATTAACTAACTTATTTATGGGACCCGGAAATTCGAAAAGCCTGGCTCGTTCCAGGGATGGATTTAATTTGGCTCAGTTGTGGAATCCGCTCCATCTCCAAGCTCAGTCATTTCTTTGCTCAACCAAAAACAGACAGATGGAGAAAGGGAAACAGAAAATTAGACAGGATGTACCTCCACGTCCCTGAGATCTCTGAAGCCTACATTGAAGAAGGGCTACAGAGGGGGGTCGACTGGATGGCCTTTGGGGTTCCCTTCCAGTTCTGGGATCGTTTGGTGCTTTAGCAGGTCATTCCTGCTAAAGTTGAGGGACAGAAAGTGGTTGAGAGACAGAAAGTTGACATCTTTAAAGAAATCCCATCTAAATTGAGAGTCAAGAGAAGGGCAGAAATGACAGATAGGTTAAGGGGAAAAGACAAGAGCGACTTTGAAAAAGAATAGGGACCATTTATATCATATTTGCAGAAACAGAGAAAGTCAATAGACTTGATGGCAGGATTTAAACAAACATTCACATTATTAGCATTAGAAAACGTTTAGAAGCTAGTGAAATATTACGGTGTATTTCCTTTTATTTTTATGTTTTTAGGCTTGATGTTATGTTGTTAATAACTTTATCTGTTAGGCGTTACCAAAGTGGGTGAAAAGAGAAACAAACCAGAAGCAGAAGTTGGAGGAAGCCCTGGAGGGGAGGGAGGGAGGAATATACAGTGGTGCCTCGCAAGACGAAATTAATCCGTTCAGCGAGAGTCTTCGTCTAGCGGTTTTTTCGTCTTGCGAAGCAAGCCCATTGACGGATTAGCGCTATTAGCGCTATTAGCGGTTTAGCGGCTATTAAAGGCTTAAAGGCTTAGGGGATTAGCTGCTAAAGGCTATTAAAGGCTATTAAAGGCTTAGCAGATTAGATAAAGGGGGGGGAAAGCGAAAAAAAAATCTCAAGACTCGCAAGGTATTTTCGTCTTGCGAAGCAAGCCCATAGGGGAATTCGTCCTGTGAAGCAACTTCAAAACGGAAAACCCTTTCGTCTAGCGGTTTTTCCGTCTTGCGAGGCATTCGTCTTGCGGGGCACCACTGTATAGTGAATGTTAAGAAACTGAAATGTATGTAATGAATGAAAAAGAAAAATGAATATTTTTTTTAAAAAGAGGTGGGGCTGGATGGCCTTTGGGGAGCCCCTTCTGGCCCTTCCCTTCTGTGTCTCCAGGACTGGGACCTGGGTGCTTTTCTCTGCTCCAGGCCCTCTTCAAATCGCCCCCCATCTATTGATTTTGGCTGTCCCCCCCCCCAAAGAAGGCATTCATTTGGAGCCCATCCTCTCCTCCGCCTCACGAAACGGATTCTGGGACACATAGTTTATCCTCTCTAGCCAGTTTGTCCTATGTCCTTTTAAGTGTGTGTGTGTGTGTGTGTGTGTGTTTTGGAAGCGGGGGGTGGGGGAGTGTTTATTGTTTTGCTTTCTTCATGTCCTTCATATATGCATTTTGCGCCTTTTGTCTCGTATTTCTATGCTCTGAGCAGCCCCGCGGTCTTCGGATGAAGGGCAGTATGCAGATTTAATGCATGAACAACAATTCTGCAGTTCCCAGCACCCTAAAACTAGAGTTCCCAGGGGTCTGGTGGGGGGGTGAGCATGTGCTTTATTTTTAAATCTTTTTTATTGATTTTCCAATAAAAAACTTCCAATTAATATAATCAATCGTAATACTCCAATTAAAATAAAAAAAACTAAAATAAAAAAATCCAAATTATAGTTCAAATTATAATTATTAATTTTTCGGAGCTCCCCACGGTCTGGATCTCTGAAGCATATCTCCACATCTCAGTCCTGACTCTCCTTGTCGTTTCCATATTTTCCACCTCTCGATTTTGACGCTTTATATTTCTCCGTCCCTGAGTCCACGATTCTGAATCATGTCAAACACCATGTACTTTCATCCGTCGAATACAGCTTTGGTAATATAGATTTTTCCAACTGGCGTGTGCTTTCAATGCATTTAGAATTCATTTGCAATGTTATCGGTTCCGTCAGGCTAGCTCTGCGGTTTTACTTGGCCTTTTGCTAGTTTCCTTGATTGTCTGACCCCAGATAATCCCTCTTTCTCTCCGCCGCCCCAAAGAAAAAGAAGGTCGTCAGGAGATACTGGGAGGGCGAAGCCCCACAAGCCGACCCAGAAGAGAGTGGCGCTCGGGGTGCCAAGAAGGCGCGGCAGGATGAGGCCTCCCCAAGGAAGCTGATGGGTCCTGGCAGGAAGAAGACCATATCAGGGGTACGGTCCTCCTTTTTCTTTGCATTTCCAACATTTATTATTTGTCTTATTCCTTTTTCGCTAATTTCACAGGTGTAATATATGAAACATTGCAAAGTAGAGAAAGAACAGAGATATTAGTTGTGAGATTTAAATGCAATAGTGAAAGTAAGAAATGTAAATTAAGTGAATAGATTGGAAAATTTTTCGTATGTGATTGAGGGAAGTAAAAAAAAATTGTACAAGATATAAAAGTATGTTTAATTACTGTTGAAAACGATATGTTAACACACACACATATATAGAATATCAGGTGTATGTTCCTTCTTTTTCTTTACATTTCCAACATTTATTTTTTGTCTTATACATTTGGGCTAATTTCACAGGTGTAATATACGAAACATTGCAAAGCAGAGAAAGAATAGAGATATTGCTTGTGAGATTTAAATACAATAGTGAAAGTAAGAAATGTAAATTAAGTGAACAGATTGGAAAATTTTCAGTTAATTTTTTAATTTTTATTGGAAATTTTATTTACAACATAACATAACGCCCCCCCCAGTACAGAAATACAATGAGCATAACATACAACAGTAGAAACAACCAAACAAAAGACTTCCTTTGTCCTGCATCTGGCCTCCTTATTTACTTCTTATAAGCTGTTTCCTTTATGAATAATTATTAAGATTTTTCTCATTATAACTTAAATATCCACAAAGTCTCCTGCAGACATTAATCGAAACAAGTCCAGGTATGTATTTTAGGGCACTGTTTTGTGAAGTATTCTCTGCGTTCCCCCCCATACTTTTTGAAAATCTTGTCTAGTGTGATCTCTAATTTGAAAATTGATGGAAATAAAAAACAACAACTGTGTAACAACTGTATATATAAAAGTATGTTTAATTATTGTTGAAGATGATATGTTAAAAAAATAATATAATTTTATTAGTTTTTTAACATATCATTTCCAACAATATATCATTTTCATATATCATTTTCAACAGTATGATATATGAGAATATCAGGGGTACGAAGGGAAGTAGGTCTGCATTGCAGTAGGGGGGGCTAGATGGCCTTTGGTGGGTCCCTTCGAATTCCGGAAGTCTGGGGAAGGGGCTGAATCTTTTTTGGGGGAAGATACAACATGCCCCCTATTCCACGTCCGCCTGGTTCGCTCTTTGGCGTTCGTTGCAATCCCTGCCTTGCAGGGGGTTGGACTAGATGGCCCCTGGGGGGCCCCTTCTGACGCTGCGATTCTGTGATTTCTTCCAGAAGGTGGACCCGTTTCCTGGCCCGGCCTCCGTCAGCCGTGAGCGAGTGCGCAGGTTCCAGCGAGGAGCCGGGGGCCAAATGGTGAGGCGCCTTGGCCTTCCGGGGGGGCGGAGACGTTCTCCCTAGGCGTGTGGGGGGAGCTGCGGGCACCATCATCTTTGACCCCCCCCCCTTTTCCCATGTCCCACAGGGGACGGTGTCCAACAAACGCCTTAAGCGCCAGCTGGCCAGGCAGGAGGAGAAGGCCCAGGCAGCAGCCAAGCAGGCGGCCCGGATGGAGATGCTTCTCCTGGAGGATGCTGGGTAATGTAGTTTCTGCACCTGCCTTTAAGAGGCTGTTGGGCGGTGGGTGAGCCTTGGTTCCGTAGCTGTCAACTTTCCCCTCCTCTTGCGAGGAATCCTATTCGGAATAAGGGAATTTCCCTTAAAAAAAGGGAAACGTTGACGGCTATGTTTGGTTCAGTGCAGGCAAATGGTGCCAAGAAATCTTCATTTACTTAAAAAAAAAATTCCTTTAAAAAAACAAGATTTCCTTTATCGTTTTCAGTTCTACAACATTTATATAAATTACAGAATTTAAAACATATTTTAAACATATCCTACTTCCCTTCCCACCCCCCTTCCAAGGCTCGTTTCATTTTCCTTTTTTGCTTCTTATTCTAATTAATCCTTATTTTTTTCTCTTTCCTAATTTTCCCTTCTGGGTATACATAAACTGCATATTCCACAATTTCCCCCCATTCCTTTTTTTAAAAAAGTTTTTCCTTCCTGATCTCTTATCCTTCCAGTTAAACTAGTCATTTCTACACATTCCATCAGTTTCTTTGTTGGTACCGCATCTTCCTTCTGTTTCTGATCACAAATTGTCCGAGCTGCAGTTGTTGTGTGCAGGGATAAGATTTTCTGATCTTTGGCTACCTCTGGACCGGTTACTCCTAAAAGAAAAGCTTCTGGGTTTTGTTTTTATTAAAATTAGAAGATTTATTCAATATTTTTTTCAGTTAATTATAAATCATTTCCCTGAAGGCTTTGGCTACATTACACTTCCACCACATATGATGAAAGATACCCATTTCCAACATGTATCTGATTCTGACTTGTACATCTTTGCTGGTTTGTTAGACATTAAATGCCACCTATACATCTTTTTCATAAAGTATTAGTAGTTATTATTATTATTATTATTATTATTATTATTATTAATGTATACCATGCCCATCTGGCTGGGTTTCCCCAGCCACTCTGGGCGGCTTCCAACAGGATATTAAAAACACAATACGGTAAAACATTAAAAACTTCCCTAAATAGGGCTGCCTTCAGATGTCTTCTAAACGTCAGATAGTTGTTTATTTCCTTGACATCTGAAGGGAGGGCATTCCACAGGGCGGGAGCCACCACTGAAAAGGCCCTCTGCCGAGTTCCCTGTAACTTTGCTTTTGGCAGGGAGGGAACTGCCAGAAGGCCCTCGGAGCTGGACCTCAGTGGGCTGAGGAAGGTGGGGAAAAGCTCCAGAGCCTTCTGGGGGCAGAAGAGAAAGGAAGGACCCCCCTTCTCCCTCTCTCCCCTCGGAGTGAGTATAAAGGAAAATAACAAATGTAGGCCTCTGTGCAGAATAAACATACTGATAATAATATAATAATATATTATTTATACCCCGCCCATCCGGCTGGGTTTCCCCAGCCACTCTGGGCGGCTTCCAACAAAATATTAAAATACAAAGATTCACCAAATATTAAAAGCTTCCCTAAACAGGGCTGCCTTCAGATGTCTTCTAAAAGTCAGATAGTTGTTTATTTCCTTCACATCTGAAGGGAGGGTGTTCCACAGGATGGCCGCCACTACCGAGAAGGCCCTCTGCCTGGTTCCCTGTAACCTCACTTCTCGCAGGGAGGGAACCGCCAGTAGGCCCTCGGCGCTGGACCTCAGTGTCCGGGCTGAACGATGGGGTGGAGACGCTCCTTCAGGTTTACAGGACTGAGGCCGTTTAGGGCTTTCAAGGTCAGCACCAACACCTTGACAATAGTTCTATCTCTCCCCCCCCTTTTTTTGAGAAGATTGAAAAAATGTTTATTGCTTATATGGAGGGAAATTGTGTACACTTGAAAATGTTGGCAGCATAAAGATAAATTCAACAGTGTAAGTAAGTTTTGATGGATGTAATAATGGAATACTGAATGGCTTAGTTTTTGTAAAATATGCAGGGATTTATGAAAAGCAAAATGAACCATGGAAAGAGAAGAAGGGAAGTCATTGGTATTTTAAGGATGTTTAAATAGGCATTCTAAATTGTAAAACGGAAAATTTAATTAATAATAATAGTGATGCACTGATGTGGAAATCTGTGGGGCTGAACTTAAGGCTTTGAAAAACGAGAAATGCAGTAAAACTGAAATGGCTAGATTCACCCACCCCCTTTCCTTTTTTAAAAAATATTTTTTATTAGGCATTTCAACAATTAACAATTTATCAAAAACACACCATCCTCCTTCCCCCCCTCCAAATATAGTTCTCTTTTAGTTTATAACATGCCGCAAGTTTTAAATCCTTCTTCCACGGTCTCTCCCATGCACGCGTTTCAATATCTGTTGCCCAATTAACTTCCATTTCCTGAGGGGTCCGGCGTCATTGCTGCCTCTGACCATAGTAGGCTGTTGCCTCCGGGGTGCAACTCTGCCTCACTTTCTCCCTCTGCCCCGCCAGGTTCCTGGAAGGAGATGAGGGGGAGGACACATGCACCATCGCCCAGGCCGACATCGCAGAGGCCGTGGACCTGGCCGCCGGCGCAAAGGTAGGCGGGGAGGGGACAGTGCGGGGGTCTTGAGGAAGGGGGGGCAATGTGGGGACCCCCTCCCAGGGCCTGACCCCGGCCTGCTTTCCTCTCACCAGCATTTTGAGCTGCGGCTGAACCAGTTTGGCCCGTACCGGGTGGACTACACGCGCAACGGCCGGTGAGTGAGCAAGAGGTGTTTGGCGTTGGAACGGTCTCCCTCGGGAGCTGGTGGGCTCTCCTTCCTTCTATGATTTAGCTGAGATTCCTGCCTTGAGGAATCCTCCTCTTCCTCCTTCGCAGGCATCTCCTCCTGGGGGGCCGAAGGGGCCACGTGGCGGCCCTCGACTGGCACACAAAGGCCTTGATGTGCGAGATCAACGTCATGGAGTCCGTCGCAGACGTGGCGTGAGTTGCAAAAACGTGTGGGGGGTGCCGTGTTGAGTTTTTTGGGGGGGAGGCAAGCAGAAATTGCACATCTGTTATCAATTAATCAGTTGGGATGCAGGTGGCGCTGTGGGTTAAATCACAGAGCCTAGGGCTTGCCGATCAGAAGGTCAGCGGTTCGAATCCCCGCGACGGGGTGAGCTCCCCTTGCTCAGTCCCAGCTCCTGCCAACCTAGCAGTTTGAAAGCACGTCAAAGTGCAAGTAGATAAATAGGTACTGCTCTGGCGGGAAGGTAAACGGCGTTTCCATGCGCTGTTCTGGTTCGCCAGAAGTGGTTTAGTCATGCTGGCCACATGACCCGGAAGTTGTACGCCGGCTCCCTCGGCCAGTAAAGCGAGATGAGCGCTGCAACCCCAGAGTCGGCCATGACTGGACCTAATGGTCAGGGGTCCCTTTACCTTTATCTTTATCAATTAATTAGATTTGTATACCGCCCTTTATCCGTGGATCTCAGAGCAGTTCCTTTTCTGTCTTCCCACCCCATTCCTCTCGTCTCGCCTCCCAAGCCACTTCCTCCACGGTTCAAACGTTCTGCCGTTGGCAAGTACCAGCGACAGCCTTGCCAGGTATTCCTGGCACTCCCGTCTCTACATTGCAGGTGCAGGGCATGGGTTTCCCATCTTCCCGGTGAGGTTGTCGCTGCCTCCCCCCAGCTCAGAGATGAAATTTCAAGAGAGTCGTACCTTGGAACTCAAACGCCCTGACTCCCAAACAAATCGGCTCCCGAACGATTGAAACCCGGAAGAGAGTGTTCTGGTTTTCGAATGTTCTTTAGGAACCCAAACGTCCGATGCGGCTTCCGATTGGCTGCAGCAGCTTCCTGCAGCCAATCAGAAACCGCCCCTTGGTTTCCAAACGTTTTGCAAGTCGGACGGACTTCTGGAACGGATTCTGTTCGACTTCCAAGGTATGACTGTGAATGTATAGTCTGCTTAGGGAAGCTGCCCCTCGCATGAAATTTCTTTATTATTATCATTATTACAGTTGTACCTCATGTTATGTTTGCTTCAGGTTGCGCGTTTTCAGGTGGCGTCCCGCGGCGACCCGGAAGTACCAGAAAGGGTTACTTCCGGGTTTTGCCGCATGTGCAGAATGACGTCACGGGCAAGTGCAGAAGCTGCGAATCGCGACCCGCGCATGCACTGACGTGTGTTGTGTTCTTTTCAGGTTGTGAGCGGGCCTCCGGAACGGATCCCGTTCGCAACCTGAGGTACCACTGTATTGTGGTTCATTACATTTGCATTCTGCCCTTCATCCAAAGATTGCAGGGCGGTTCACAACTTAATTCGGGGCAGCCTTACCGCTTCTCACTGGCTCATAGCTCCTGCCCGTAACCGGGCTGCCTTTGCACCTGCCCCTGGTTCTTTCCGCTTCTGAGCTGCGACGCCTCCGTTGCTGGGGGTTGGGCTAGATGACCCCAGGGTGCCCCTCCCGACTCAGCCCTTCTGACGCCGCCTTTCTCCCCAGGTGGCTCCACACGGAGACCATGTTTGCCGTGGCCCAGCGGAAGTGGCTCTACGTCTACGACAACCAGGGAGTGGAGCTCAACTGCCTCAAGCGCTTCCACGGGGTCCAGCGGATGCAATTCCTGCCCTACCACTTCCTCTTGGCCACAGCGGTGAGGAAGGCCCACTGGGGCTGCCCGATTGGGGGGGCGGTTATCTTTCTCTCCTGAACCCCAACAATCCCATCTCTCTGTTCAGCAGAGGTTAGGGGTGGGGACCAACTGCCAGGGACGCTTTCCCTGCGATTCCTGCCTTGGAGGGCGGGTTGGGCTAGATGACCCTTGGGTCTCCCTTCTCCCTGTACAAAGCTGTTATTCTATGCATCTGTACAGGGTCTTACAACCTGTGGATTCCCCTTTCCCTCCTTTTGAGAGAACAGTCGTACCTTGGAAGTCGAACGGAATCGGTTCCGGAAGTCCATTTGACTTGCAAAGCGCGGCTTCTGCTTGGCTGCAGGAGCCAATCGGAAGCCGCAGAAGCCACACCGGACGTTCGGCTTCTGAAAATGGTTCAAAAACTGGAAAATCTTCCCCCTATTCTTCCTAATGTCTCAACAAATGAAACCAATTTGTAAAAAAAAAGTGTTACGTAGAAAAAAATACGAGAGAGAGACATTGCACATACCTTTGTAAATCAAGAAAATCTTTAATAAAAATACATTAAAAAAAACTTTTAAAAAAACTGGAACAATCACTTCCGGGTTAACAGCAGCAGCAACAGCATGTTATTTATACCCCGCCCATCTGGCTGGGTTTCCCCAGCCACTCTGGGCGGCTTCCAACAAAAGATTAAAAATGCATTAAAACATCAGTCATTAAAAACTTCCCTAAACAGGGCTGCCTTCAGATGACCTTTAAATGTCATATAGTTGTTTATTACTTTGACATCTAATGGGAGGGCATTCCACAGGGCGGTTTCAATCACTCAGGAGCCGAAAGTTTCGAGTTCAAAGGCATTCAGCTTCCGAGGTTCCACTGTAGTTTAATTGACCAACAGAAAACACAAATAAAATGTGAAAAAGGAAAAACAGTAGTAGAATTCTAGTTGTTATTATATTTGTACCCTGCCCATCTGACTGGGTTGCCCCGGCCACTGCACAGCTTCCCACAAATATCATTGGAAGAGCTGACAAGGACAGCTGTCTATCAACTCATCCAATACACAGGTGGCGCTCTTAATTCCTGCGTGCTGAACCTCCTGTGCTTCGTATAAATGAATCTCAGATATACATGTCTGGGCAAAACCCACGCCTGCAAGTAATCCATTCTCAGCTTGCGGGAGTCACCACCCAGGGATTAAATATGTGGCAAGCATCTTTAGCAAGGTGTGGGAACACCTTGAGAGAAAAACAGGCAGCGGACTTCAGTCAGTGGCTGAGGTCCAGCTCCGAGGGCCTTCTGGCGGTCCCCTCCCTGCGAGAAGTGAGGTTGCAGGGCCTTCTCGGTGGTGGCGCCCTCCCATCAGATGTCAAGGAAATAAACAACTATCTGACTTTTAGAAGGCATCCCCATTTAGGGAAGTTTTTAATGTTTGATGTTTTATTGTGCTTTTAATATTCTATTGGGAGCTGCCAAGAGTGGCTGGGTCTCCCAGATGAGTGGGGCATAAATACTATTACTATTATTATTATTATTATTATTATTATTATTATTAATTTTACTTTTTTTATTATTAAATAATTTTTATTAACAAGCCAATCACATCACATTATCCATATCACATTGATTCCAAATTATACAGCCAAATTTTAAATTTTGTTGGGGGTACCCATACATCAAGCTTGGCTCGAGTCCAAAACAGGATCACTTTTCTTACTGCATTAATTAAACAGTTCTGTCCAGTTTGATCCGGATAGAGCTTTATTACTTCCTTTCTCTTCTTGTTGTTATCATAAATTCCTTTCTTTGCGATCTCTGATGACTTTCACAAGCAGGTTGAAAGCTGGCATTCTATGTGGGTTTTATACTCTTCCAAAAATCATACCGATCCGGGACAGCCTCCGTACAACGCTTCCATAAACAAAATTAATCTCCGATCTGTTCTTTATTTTTCTCAGGCTTACCAAATAAATCAAATGAGTCTGGGGGTTCTGTCAGGTCAAACTACCATTCCAGCATTCCTTCTCATCAAACAATCCTGATTCTCCTCCCCCAGTCCTTCTTCCTCCGGCAGACCTGTCCTGGCGAGACGCCATTTTTTAACTGCGTCATAAAAATTTTCCTCTTTTCTCCTCGTTCTCCAATCTTCTTTCCTCCCACATAGTTCTTAAAATCCTGCCTGTGGTTCATAGAAACGCGACGATCTTATTTCTTTCTGGGGTGAAGGGTTATTAATGTCACATCATGCAGGGAAAAAAGAGTTTTTTCCTCCACCCCCCCCTTCGTTCCAAATATACAGTCTCCTTATGGTAGTTCATCAGAAGATTTACTTATCCGTCCGTCACTCCTGGTCGCAGAGATCCATAAATCAGCAGTCTTATCTTCAAGCTTTACTTGATGTCTGTGCTTTCAGCTTCATTTCCAATCGTATGTTTCCAATTATAATTCCAAGCTGCAGCAACCAGCACGCGCTGATTGGAATCGGCGTCAGGAAGAGCTGACTTCACCGAGGGCCTGTGCCAAGTGTTCAGCACCCCCATCACTCGTTTCAGGGGGTGCATTGTGAACACCGCCGGCAGGACAGCACTCCCCCACATCCTGGGGGAGCAAAAGGAAGGCTGCATACTTCCCATAGCAGCCCCTTAGTACCTCGTATGGGTCAGAGAGATGTTATTGTCGGCCATCTTCCAACGCGCCACCTGGTGGCCCCCCTATTATTATTAATTTTACTGACAGGTTTGAGCATACACAGTTACAGGTATTTACACGATCTCCTGCTAGAGCCCTGACAGGTCTACTCCTTTAGATAGAGACTTGCCCCCTGGCTCGCACAGCAAAACACACTGCAACACGCAGATCCTGGTTGCAGGTTCAAACTTAGCTCCAAGCCCAGCCCAGCAGCAACCAGCAGAGATTTCATGCAGCAGAGAGACGTTGCTGGCCTGGCTCCTCTTCTGTTAGCCGGGACAATCCCATCCCGGCCGGATGCCAGTGGCAGATTCAGCAGTTAGCATGGAGATTTGGGCCAGGTGGAATCACCCAGCCATCTTGCACTCGCAACTTATCCAGGTGCAAGCAATCTAGATGCCACGGCACCATGATTTTCCCCGGGCCAAGAATAAATCTTCTCCCGCAGTGCGGAGAGGCGTGTACGGGACCCCGGCTGAGAGGGCCTCCACGGTGGCCGGACAGACAGTTTTGCAGAGTTAGCAAAGCTGTCTCCATGGCGCAGTGTCTGGGGCAAGGCGAGGATTGTTCCGCCTAACCCTCCTTTTGTGGGTTTGGTTGCGGCTGTGGGTCGGGCTGGCCAGTCTTGCGGGGGGGAAGGTCAGGACCCTCTCCTAAATAAGAACTGGCCCCCCACCCGACTTGATCTAGCACCTGGTCTCTCCTGGGTGGGTGGGTGCCTTTGCCCACAGAAAAGAGACGCCCCCCCTTGGATGCGAGGGTCTGTTTATTACAAAGCTCTCTCCTCTGTTTTTGTGTGCCCCCCCTCCAGAGCGAGACGGGCTTCCTGCAGTACCTGGATATCTCTGTGGGGACGGAGGTGGCCACCATCTGCACCAAGGGGGGCCGGCTGGGGGTCATGGCGCAGAACCCCTCCAACGCCATCGTCCACCTGGGACACAGCAACGGTGAGACTCCCACTGCGGCGGGTTGGGCCCCATGGCCTCTGGGGGTCCCTTCCAAGCTGACCGTTCTGGGATCCTGTAAGCAGGACTTGTGGGGCAGGAGGGAGGTGGGGAGGCTGGTTGTAGCTGGTGTTTAGCCACGGACGGAAAGGGAGGACGGAAAGGGAGGAAGCCGACGGCAGGCAGGAGTAGCCCTCCCTCCCTTCCCAGTTTGATCTTTTCTTCCCCCCCCCCCCAAAAATATAGGCACGGTGACCCTCTGGAGCCCCAACGTCAAGGAGCCCCTCGTTCGGATGCTGTGCCACCGGGGGGCCGTGAGGGCGTTGGCAGTCGACGGGTCTGGCACGTGAGTGAAACAATTATTTTAATTTGCAAAATGCGAGTCCTGCTTTCTGTCTGGGGCGGTTTCTGCACCTTCCGTCTCCCCTTGGCTGCCAGAAACCATCGGCGTGTGACGGTGGCCACAATCCTGTGTTACGGAAGAATCTAGGTGCGAGGCTGCTCAGTCCCTGCGGAATAAAGGAAGGAGTCCAGCCCCCAACCGGAGCAAATAGCTGTAGACCAAAGTTGATTGCGCAACAGGTTCAAAGAGGAATTTTGAACCCCAAGGATGGGGTGACAAGGGCTTTTTAAAGTTGTTGCATATAAAAGCAATTTAACATCTTGCCTATTAATATCCTCACCTGTAATACCAAGTAAAAAATGCTTCTGGTTTTTTAAAAAATGTATATTTCAACATCTTTTTCATCTCATTATATATGGTTTCCCAGAAGTTTTTTACTTTCTTACATTACCACCACATATGGTGAAATGTTCCTTCTAGGACAACTCTGATCTTAAACCTCCACTGCGTTGTGGGACCTCTTTGGGAGAAGGAAAGGCTCGGGAGAAAACCCCACACAATTCCAGAGTGGGATCCCTAAGGCGGTTGGTTGGTCTTCTTCTGCCAACTCTGCTTTCCTTTGGACCACATCAGCCAGGCCACGAGGGGGTTCTTGTCATAACGGTGTCCTTTTAAATCTCTCAGCGGGATCGGGGTTACGGCTTTGGCTCGTTTCTGCTTCGTTCGGCATTGCTGTGTTTTGCGAACTGCCCTGCGAGTGCAAATTCAACGATAACAGCAAATAGTAAACGACGGGAGGTGTGTGCAAACGCAATAAATCGCGATAGCAAAAAAATCGTCGGCAGCCGAAGGAGAAATCGAAAACGGGCCGAAACATGGCAAAGTTGAGGCAGGCTGGGCTGTGCGAGAACGCTGCTTGCGGGGGCCGGGTTCAAGAGGCAGGGAGTTCCCAAGTGTCAGTGGTGGCACGCCGAAAGGATTTATTTCTATTCCCCACCCCTTTTTTAAGTCATAAATAACGAAGAATAAAAATGTGCACCCCACTCCGGAGACCATTCCGTTGTAACTATCCAACCTCCCAGAATTTCAGCACCTCTTGCGATGGTTTGACCCCTTTATTCCCCTTAAGTGTGGGAATAAAACAGCCTTCAGCTGCCAGCAGAAGAACAACAAGGCAGGAGCCAGGCTGGGTTCCCCAGGCAGGCAGTTCCAAAGTTGCTTGGGAGGAGCCACCACCAAGAAGGCCCTGTCCTGCCCAGGTCTTCCTGGGAGGGTGGTGGGACCAAGAAAAGCCCCCCCCCCAAGATCTCAAAACCTGGGCAGCCTTATAAGAGGGAATGCGGCTTTTCAGACAGCCTGGCCCTAAGTCATTGTAGCATCCGGAACAAACGGGTACCCAGTGGGGCTGTTCGAGGGAGTTGTTTGCTCCCTACAAGATTTTTAAAGAGCGGGGCACACCCCAGGACAAAGAAGCCCCTTCTCTGGCCACTCAGACAGTGCTTTCCCCCATTCATTCTCTCATATATATATATATATATGAGAGACCATTCCATTGTGACAATCCAGCCTCTCAGAATTTCAGCACCTCGTGCGATGGTTTGACCCCTTTTTCTGTTTTAACAGTACGAATTCTGCAAACACTTTCTGTATCTCCTCCTCAAAACCATTCCTCCTGCCTATTCCCCGTCTTACCTTAATGGCACATGTTAATCTATCATTATTAGCTATATCCCACACCTCTTTATGCCATTCTTCCATTTTATATTCCGCTTGCCCCTTCCACTTCCTGGCTATAATAATTCGTGCAGCTGTCAATAATTTGACAAGCAAGTCCTTCCTCGCCTGCGAACCTTCCACCCCCTCGTAAATTGATAATAACGCTACCTCTGGACTTTCGGTCAGCTTTAACCCAGCAATTTCTGTTATCTCCCTTTGCTAATAATTTTCTTTTATTCTTATAGAGGTTTTCAACGTATGTTTCTCCCACATTTTCCCCCAGGTTGTTTTTTTTTTTTTTTGGAATATTTTTTATTAGGAATTTCAGCATAACAATTTATCAAAAACACACCATCCTCAGCCCCCCCCATTTCCCCCTCCCCTCTCCCAGACTTCCCTCAGCTCCTCTCTCTGGTTTTTCAGCACATGTTATTCTCTGCATGTTATAAAATAGTAAAGATCCTTAATTTATCTAACTATATATTAGAAATAATAAATTTGTGAATGTTTATTCAAAACCTGCCAAGGAGTCCAGTTCATTTTGTTGTTTCTTTAAGTACTTTGTAAAAGGTTCCCATTCTTCTTTAAGGTCACAGTTGTCCTTATCACGTAATTTGTATGTCAGTTTTGCCAATTCCGCATAATCCAGCAGTTTCTCTTGCCATAGTTCTTTAGTCGGGGTTTCTTCATTCTTCCATCCTTGCGCTATTAAGATTCCTGCCGCCGTTGTCGCATACATAAAGATATTCTTAAATTTCCTTGGCAGGTCTTTCCCTAAAATCCCTAACAAGAAAGCTTCAGGCTTTTTTACAAATGTTAATTGGAACATTTTCTTCAACTCGTCGTATATCATTTCCCAAAATTTTTAAATTTTACTACAATACCAGCACATATGATAAAAAGTCCCTTCTTTTTCCTTACATTTCCAACATATATTAGAGCCAGTTATATACATTCTTCCTCACTGGTGTTATATACCATCCATACATTATTTTCATGTAGTTTTCTTTCAGCAAAGAGCAGTCTGTAAATTTTAAATCAGTTTTCCACAATCTTTCCCAGTCTTCAAACATTATATTGTGACCTATATCCTGTGTCCATTTAATCATAACTGATTTCCCCTCTTCATCTTTTGTTTCCCATTCTAGCAGAATACTATATTCACCTTTCAGCAACTTCACTTTCCCTTCTACGACTTCCTACATTTCCCCCCAGCCTTGCCTTATTACCGTATTTTTCTCTCTATAGGACGCACTTTTTCCCCTCCAAAAATGAAGGGGAAATGTGTGTGCGTCCTATGGAGCGAATGCAGGCTCCTTGGCTTCAGCGATAGCAACCCGAAGCCTTTGAAGGGCAGAGGGAGCGCTCCCTCCTCGCTCCGGAGGCTACGCGTTGCTTTCGCTGAAGCCTGGAGAGCGAGAGGCGTTGGTGCGCACCGACCCCTCTCGCTCTCCAGGCTTCAGGGATAGCCACCTGAAGCCTTTGGAGCGCTACGCAGCGCTCCGTCTCGCTGTTCTAGCTTGGGGATGCCGGGGCTTTATGGGGAGAAAGGTTGTTTTCTGCTGCTCCAGAGAAGCGGACACGGAGCAATGGATCCAAACTACAAGAAAGAAGATTCCACCTAAACATTAGGAAGAACTTCCTGACAGTAAGAGCTGTTCGACAGTGGAATTTGCTGCCAAGGAGTGTGGTGGAGTCTCCTTCTTTGGAGGTCTTTAAGCAGAGGCTTGACAACCATATGTCAGGAGTGCTCTGATGGTGTTTCCTGCTTGGCAGGGGGTTGGACTCGATGGCCCTTGTGGTCTCTTCCAACTCTATGATTCTATGATTCTATGAAACCCCGGGCTTCCCCCTTCAGCCCCGATACTGGCCGGGCTGGCTGGGGGAACCCCCGGCTTATTGTGCCGGTAATTCCCGGCATTTCTTCCTTTTGCGCTGGTTCCACGGGGCAAGGCAGCTGCAATGATTTGATTCAGAATATTTTTTACTTGTTTTCCTCCTCTAAAAACTAGGTGCGTCCTATGCTCGGGTGCGTCCTATAGAGCGAAAAATATGGTAGTTGTTCTGTTGTCTCCTTTTCCCACACCTCTTTTAATTAATCTTCTTTCCAGTGCAGAACAGGTGACACGTAGCGCCTATGAGAACGACAGCTCTACCAACCCCTGTATTTTAGGGGGGCTGGACTAGATGACCCCTGGGTTTCCCTTCCTGACCCACAACTCTCTGCTTCCTCTCCCCGCAGCTACATGGCCACCTCTGGGCTGGACCGGAAGCTGCACATCTACGACCTGCGCACCTACCGCCGCCTCCACTCCCTCCTGCTGCCCACCGGCGCTGGGCAGCTAGATTTCAGCCAGCGGGGGCTCCTGGGGGCCGCATGCCAGGAGATCATCCAGGTAACTGGGGGCAGGCGGGGGGACTCCCCAAATTTCCTGGGTGGGCTTTGCGGCTCCATCTCCCTCAAATCCTAAAGCCTGAGGGGTTTAATTGAATTTTTTCACTTTCCCTGTTTAATGTCAGCCCCCTGCCCCACATCCGGCACCGGGTTCTAATTGAGGCAAGGCGGAGACAGCTTGCCGCTTTGGAGCATAACCTTCCTATGTCCTTATGGACAAGTCTAGAGGCAGTCTACCTTGATTCCTCTGTCCCTGGGGGTATTTGACTCCTATGCAGACAAGATGGGCCCAATTTATTTTTGTGTTCTATGCACAACCAGAATCCGCTTGGCCGAGGCAGTAGTGTGCAGAAGTAATTATGTTTTTAAGGGGGGTATTGTGGGTTTTCGTGGTGTATTTTGTGTTTGTATTTTGTGATTTTATGTTGTAACTGCCCTGAGACTCACAGGTATAGGGCGGCATACAAGTTTAAATCATCATCAAGGTATCCTAAGCAGTCATCAGGGTTGGAGCAAGTTGCAGGATCCTGCCCTGAGCGGGGTGGGATGGATGACCCTCCGGTGTCCCCTTCTCGTGCTGTCATTCAGCTGAGTTCTGCACTTTTGCAAACGCTTTGAGAAAGGGCTTTTTTTGGATTGGATGGAGGTAAAGCCAGAATATCAAAAGTCACAGCCTGCTGGATCAGGCCCACAGTGGCCAGCCAGATGCCCCCAAATCAGGATTCGAACTCGAGATCAGGACTACCCTGGTCAGCAGCCATCAACAGGCTTCTGCACGGATCTGTCCAATCAAAACCATCCGAGTTGGTGTTTCTCTCTCTCTGCCTCTAGTGGGAGGGAGTTCCACAGTTTAACTGCGTAGAGAACTTCCTCTTAACCTGTCCCGAATCTCCCAACATTCAGCTTCCTGGGACAGGCACGACTTCGAGTGCTGTGCCAGAATATGGGGGGAATTGATCTCTCTGCTTTTCTCCTTGCCTGGTGCAATTGTACAAGCTTCTGTCACATCATCTCTCACCCCGACTGGAAAGTTGCCGCCGTTCTTCGCAGGGGCGCCTCTCCATCCCCACAGACCCCGGGAGTCCGCAGCCCCCCGAAATCTGTTTTTCTCTCCCTTCCCAGGTGTACAAGGACATTGTCTCCTGCCCGCCCACGAAGCCTTACCTGTGCCACTCCCTTCCGCGCCCAGCTCACGCCCTCCGCTTCTGCCCCTTTGAGGACGTGCTGGGCGTGGGCCACGGAGAAGGCTTTGCCAGCCTCCTGGTGCCAGGTAAGGGGGTGGGGGGGACGGGGGTGTTGGGATACTGCCGGGGAGACAGGGGCATCAGGCAGGCCCCAGCGACACAAGCCTCAGATAGGTTTAGAGACTCGTGCACGCTCTATCAGCAGAGTGAATAAATCTTTGCACAGCCTGTTCCCTTTTAAGGTGGAATGGAACTATATCCTAATGGGGGACCGCGAGGGTCATCCAGCCCAACCCCCTTGCAGTGTGTCGTGATTAGCCCAAGGGGAAGGGTGGAGCAGATGGGCTGGGTCTGCCCCACTGCCTTAGAGGGGGTATTGAGTCTCCCCCCCAATGGCTTTTCCTCCTGGCTCACCCCCTCTTTTCTCACGCTGCAGGAGCTGGGGAGCCCAACTTTGATGCCCTGGAGAGCAACCCTTTCCGCAGCCGGAAGCAGCGCCAGGAGTGGGAGGTCAAGGCTCTCTTGGAGAAGGTACCCCAGGAGGATCGGGGCCCTGTCCTCGCAGAGGCCGGCTGTCTTCTCTTCCTGCCGCGACTCACATAGACTGCCTCCGAAATTTGAGGCTCCGTTTCCCCGACCGTTTTGCAGCTGCTAGCTCCGCCCCCTGGGGCAGGGAGTTCCGCAGGTGAAGCAGAGAAGGGCCCTCACTTCTTCTCACTCTCTCTCATTCGCTCCCTCCAACAGATCCCGCACGAGCTGATCTCGCTGGATCCCGGCCAGCTGGGCACCGTGGACAGGGTCTCCCTGGAGCAGCGGCAGAAGGAGCGGGTCGAAAGACTGGTGGGTCTTCCGGGGCGAGGGGGGATTTGGGGTGGGGGGTCTGTCCTGGGGGAACCTGATGAGGCGAGGACACGCTGGTAATGGGGGGGGAGGCTGGCCAAAAATGTGGTGGCTTTGAGACCCCTTTTCAGAAAATTATACACATATATATGTATGTGTGTGTTTGTTACGAAACTACACGCGTAAATCATAAAATACGATGTAACCAGCCGCAAAACGGGATACTAGTGGGGTAAAATACTAAACCTATTTTTATGTTTAAATACCGTAGATTCCGGCGTATTAGGTGACTGGGCGTATAAGACGAACCCCCCAAATTGGCAGGGTCGTCTTATACGCTTCGGCAGCAGTGGGCGGCGGGCTCTGCGCCGGGAAGAAGCCGCCCAGCGAAGCCGGTTTAGCATTGCTGGGCAGCTTCGCCGGGTAGCTTCCTCCTGGCACGGAGCGGAGCCCGCTGCCCACTGCAGCCATACCCAGCGTATAAGATGACCCCCAACTTTTTAACCTCTTTTCCGGGGTTAGAACGTTGTCTTACACACCGGAATCTACGATAGGCGCATTTTACAGCACAGCGGTATCTCGGTTCCCGAACATCTCCGTTTAATAACGGATACAGCGGTACCTTGCTTTCCAAACGCCTTGGTACTCAAACACTGTGACCCCGTGAGTGTTCCAGTAAGTGTTCCAGTTTGTGAACTTTTTTTGGAAGTTAGAACGTGCTCCGATTTGAGTCTTACGTTGAGGTCTGTCTGTTTTTGCTATTTATTTTGCGTTTTTGCAGCTCATTTTTGTGACTTTGTGGAACCCAGTTCAGCTACTGATTGATTGAGCGATTGTGTGGCTGCAGTACATTGTTATCTTGCTTTCATTTTTTGGATCAATGGCCTCATTAGATAAAATTCATGTTGAATTGCTGTTTTTGGGGTTGTTTATAAAAGTCTGGGACAGATTAATCCATTTTGCATTCCTTTCTACGGGAAAGCGGGCCTTGGTTTTGGAAACCTTTGGTTTTGGAATGGTTTTGGAACGGACTTCCGGGACAGAATAAAGTTTGCGAACCGAGGTACCACTGTATTTCCGACTTTCTCCAGGGCTACGACCCCCAAGCCAAGGTCAAGTTCTGCCCCCGGAAGCGGACGAAAGGCCGCGACTCGGCCGTGGGGAGACTCCGGCGCCGGAAGAAGGTGGCCGCAGAGGAGCAGCGCGTAAGTGCATTTCTCCCAGAATCCCCTCTGGTTCCCTTTCCCAGAATCCCCTCTGCCTCCTTCGCCCGTGACCCCCGGCTCTCCCCCATTTCTTCCCCTTTCTGCACAGGCGGCCATTCGGAAGAGCATCTCGCAGCGCCAAAAGGGAGAGCAGCGACCATGTCCGCAGGCCCCCAAAGCCCCCCAAGGTCAGAGGTCAGCCTTGGACCGCTTCCAGAAGTAGAAACGGTGCAGGGGGCCGTCTGGCTAGAAAAGAAGAAGCAGCCCCCCCCCCATGGGGTGGAAAGGACCCTCTCGGCCCCCCGCCCAGCGGCAGGACCTGCTGGCGTTCCCTCTGCGAGGAAGAGATGGGGGCTGCGTGGGGTCGAAATCCTCCCCAAACCCCTCTGGTTCTTCCTCGATGGCCTGCGAAGGACCTGTGCTCTTTTTTGTGTAAAATAAAATATAAAACCTTTCGTGGGAAAGTCTCTTTAATAAATAATAATAAATAATAACATTTTTTTTCTATCCTGCCCTCCCCAGCCGAAGCCGGGCTCAGAGCGGCTAACAACAGTAAAGTAATACGGCATTCTAAAATCAATTTATTATGAAATCAGTTCAAATCAAATTAATGGCAACCATTGGGCTAGAGTTTGTTCCACGCGCGGAAGGGTCTCCTTGAGAGTAGAGCGTCCTCAAAGCCCAAAAAGGAACCCGATTCGTGGAAGAGGAGTAACCCAGGGGTACAAACAATAAAATTATTTATTACTATTACTGTTATTGGCCGCAACGGCTATGCTGTGCTTCTGCGGTTGGAGGCGGTGAATGCCACCGGATGAGTCCACTTTGCTGGGAAGGACGTTGGGGCTCAGGCCCTGCCAGCGGGCTGTTCACCCCAACTGCACACCCATCGGGGCAGGGGGCTGGGTGAGATGATGCTCATAATATTATTATTATTAGGGCTTCCCATAATATGCCCCTCTCTCCGATGTTGGACTGGATGGGTCCCCATTGGCCTGATCCTGCAGGCACTTTCCCTATGGAACTCCCTCCCACTAGAGGCAGCAAAGGCCGGCTTTCGAAGACAAGTGGGTGAATAATAAGTCTGTCAGTGGCTCTGCTCAGCCTCCACTGTCTCTGCTGAGAAGGAATGGTCCTCTGACGGAGTCCAGAGAAACGGGCTGCCGGTCACTGAAGACGAACGGCTGGGGCTGGGGGGCCAAGAATTGTGACCTGGCGGTGCAAGAGGTGCCCCACCCTGACCCCCACCATGAAGGTGACACCCACAGCCCAGGCTGCCCCCCCACCCCATGCGTTTCGGATATCGCTTCCAAATCCATGACAACTAGTAACATGGCCGTTTTTTGAAACCGAAAAGCGTCCAGGGAAGGCGGCGGAATGTCCCAGGTCCCAAAATCCAGTGGCAGAAATCCTGCGCTGCAGGGGGTTTGGCTGGATGACCCTTGGGGGTCCCACCCCATTGTCCAGTTCTGTCTCTGCCCCACAACTGAAGTTGTTTGCTTGCCGCACCTGCAAGCGGAAGGAAGGGCTGGGCGTGTCCTTGGAGAACGGATGCTGACTTTGCGTTGCTTAACGAACCAGTTGCCGCATCCTGTTGGGCGGGGCTACATGACTCCTGGGGGCTCCCACCTCTGATGCTGCAAAACCAGTTGCCAATTCAGCAACATGAGCTTGGCTGGCCCCACTCCCGGTGCCCCAAGTTTCTGAGGCTTCTCTGGCTGAGTCCCAGGGTGCAGATTTCCTCCGGTGAAGTCTTCGTCTTCCTCACGCCGCCAGCCACGCCAGGGCCTTGCAGCGGACAAGCCCCAGGGCCCTCTGCCAGGCGCTGCACGCCCCCTCGTGGGTGCCCACCTCCTCCCAAACAGCCACCATCTCGGCCGGCACCACGCCATGGACGCTGAACAATACCTCCCTGTAGCAGCAGGCGTCCGGCGGGAAGTGCTCCGAGCCAGCCATGTGGGGCAGGTGCAGGGGGGCCAGGCCGGCCTGGCGGGCGCACAGCCCCACAAAGACGTCCTCCAGGGGCACCAGGGGGACGTGGCGTGCCGCCCCCAGCAGGGCTGGCACGGCTTCCCCGGAGAGGACGTAGGCGGTGCCACTGCAGTAGGGGGGGAAGGCGTCACCCGGGTAGAGTGGGACTGGGAGGTGGTGGCGACTCCGAGGGTCGCGGTTGGGGCGCACCCACCAGTGGATGCGGCCCAGGTAGGGCGGCGGGGGGCTGGGCAGGGCGCCCAGGTGGCGCGCCAGGGCGGGCAGGTTGAGGAAGACGTCGTCGTCGGCCTTGACCACGAAGGAGGCGCCGGGGCAGCAGGTGGCTGCCCATCCGAGGAGTGCCAGGGTCTTGAGGGTCAGGTTGGCGTAGGTGTCCAGGAAGCGCCCCTGGAGGAGGTCTCCGTGCCGCGCCGCCTCCCGCTCCAGGGCGGCCTGCTGGGAGGGCTCCGAGGGCACCCCCAGGGCGAAGAGGGTCCTTGTGGGGCGCCCGCCGGCCCACAGCACCCCGCCCCAGGTGTCCCGCACGGCCTGGCGCCGGGCGGCGTGGTCTGGCGCACTGGCCACCAGGACCAGCAGGAAGGGCGTGCGGAGGGCGCAGGGGTCGCCCGCGGGCGCCAGCAGGAAGGCCTCGGCGGAGGGCAGGAGGGGGGCGCAGCTGGAGGGGGAGAAGGGGCGCCCCCTGCTGGGGGGGAGCAGGTAGGGCAGCGAGCGCGACAGCAGCGCCTCGTGCGCCCCGCCGGCCAGGAAGAGGACCCCCAGCGAGAGGGCCGAGGCCCCACAGAGCAGCAGCAGCAGCAGCAGCAGCAGGAGGCGGCGGGGGCGGCGTGGGGGCGAGGGGGGCAGCGCCATGCTGCTGGGGGGCGGAGACGCTGCAAGAGAGAAGGAGGAGAGAGAGAGGTGGGAGAAGTTGCATCCTGCGACCCTCCCGCCCGGGTTCATTTGGGCCGCTCTCGGCTTGCATCTCACAGCCCCCCCCAACACTTTATGCTGCCCACCCCCGCAGGGACACGAAGTGCAGGAGGTTCCCCCTCCCCTCGCGCGCTGCAAGCCTGTCTCTGCACATTGTCGCGCCCGCCTCGCTTGCAAGCTCAGTATTTGGGCCCCTGCCATCTTGCAATCTCATCATGCCACCCCCCCCCCCGCATGCATGCAAAAAGAGCTCCCTGCCCTCCAGATGCCCGCGTTGCGGGGGGGGGGGGCAAGACGCGCACAGAGGGCAAGACGCGCGACCGATGCGTCATCCCTTTGACCCATTCCACCTTGGACTGTCCCCCTGTCCCGCCCCCCCCATCTTGCAACCTGAGCCCCCCCCCTCCCCGCAGCCCATCTCTGCAAAGAGACCCCCCCCCCAGACCAGGGAGGGGCGCGCCAGGCCGAGAGGATGGAGAGATGCGAAGATGGAGGAGGGCGAGGCCGCTTCTGCAGGGAAGATGAAAGGGGGGGTGGAGGAAGAAATATGGGGGGGTCTCCGCCTGCCTCCCCCGATCCCGCCTTGCAGCTGTGCTCCACCAGCCACCTCTCCCCCCGCCCCCCCCCAAATGCGGCTGCAAGGGACCCAGGCGTCCGGGCGCCGGAATGGGATGCTGGAGGCTGCGTGATGGTTGTTTTTTTGCCTCCCCCCCCCACTCAACACCCCCCACAGCCGCCGCCTCCTGCTGCTTGGAGCCCCCCCCCCCCGTGGGCCCGATCCCCACCCGCTCTCACCTTTCCCTGTTCGGCAAGGAGACGTCCCTTCGCCGCCGCCGCCGCCCTCTGTCGAGGCGAATCCGGCCCTCGCTGGCCTGCCCGGCGCTCCGATTGGAGGGCAGCCTCTGCCAAAGGCGTCGTGGACTTTGAATGTGCCCCAACTCGGGACGAGAGGGAGACACGTGTCAAGAGGAAGGCGCACTTGGCAAACCCTCCACGCGATCAGCTCCCCGCCAGATGTCCCCAATGCAAGGACGTGGGGAACCAGAATTGACCTTCCCAGTCACTCGCTGGTGAGATCCTGTGCAGGGAAGACAGTCTTACTCCTCCGGGAGTGACAGTCAAAGGAGCAGCAGCTCCCTCCGCCCCTCCCTCGCCCGCAATGGGGCAACCACACCTGCCTCTGCCCTTCACCCTCCGCCTTTCCCCCTAAATTTATTTCTGCCTTGGCCGGTTGCGCCCTCGCCCGCCTCCCCGCCGCCTCCGAGGAGACCCTGCGCCCAGCACGGCAGCTGCCCAGGCTTGGGGACTCGGGAGCCCCCCGGTTGGGAGTCCTAGACAAGGACAACTGTGACTTGAGAGAAGTACTTAAGCGAAATGAACTGGACTCCTTGGCAGGTTTGGAATAAGCACACACAACCTTTTTACTGGTAATATAAACACAGATAAATTAAGGATCTTTGCACTTTTACAATATGCAGAGAATAACGGGTGCTGAAAAACCAGAGAGAGGAGCTGAGGGAAGTCTGGGGGTGGGGGGTTTCTTTTGGGGGGAGGGGGGAGGGGGAAATGAATGAGGATGATGTATTTTTGATAAATTGTTATGTTTAAACTCTTAATAAAAATATTCAAAAAAACAACAACATAGTGTTATAGAACCATAGCGGTGTTGGGATTTTTATCTCACCAGCTGCTCAGCAAGTAGCACTATGGTTGTTTATATCATGTGAGCGTCCTGAGAGCGTGAGACAGGAAGTCTCAGTACTGTTGGGGTTCACTTCGGTGTGAGATGTTGTTCTGTACTGCTGCTGAGGGGACGCGGGTGGCGCTGTGGGTTAAACCACAGAGCCTAGGACTTGCCGGTCAGAAGGTTGGCAGTTTGAATCCCTGCAATGGGGTGAGCTCCTGTTTTTCGGTCCCAGCTCCTGCCAACCTAGCAGTTCAAAAGCATAAAGTGCAAGTAGATAAATAGGTCCCGCTCCGGCGGGAAGGTAAACGGCATTTCCGTGTGTTGATCTGGTTCGCCAGAAGCAGCTTAGTCCTGCTGGCCACATGACCCGGAAGCTGCACGCCGGCTCCCTCGGCCAATAAAGAGAGATGAGCGCCGCAACCCCAGAGTCGGCCACGACTGGACCTAATGCTCAGGGGTCCCTTTACCTTTACCTTTACTGCTGCTGAGATCACAGACATGCTGATGGATTCTCTGTATATAGACCGTTGAATAAAGTAGTTTTAAAGCTCCAATTGTCTCTTTCTTCTGCAATGAGATGCCAGAAGACAAGCGTGCTCCTCTCAGGAGGGAAGGGTCGCTTATCACCAGTCTCTCTGGACTGAGGAAGATTTATAGCCAGAGAGTGACCACCGGAGAAACGCCCCAGTGTCTTGGGAAGGTGGTGGCCTTCCCGGGCGTTTTTCCAACAAGAGGTGGAAGGGACCCCCAGGGGTTATCCAGCTCAACCCCCCCCCCCCTGCAATGCAGGAATCTCCATTGCAGCATGGAAGAGAGACTGGCACCTGACCCCTGCTGAAAACCCTCCAAGGAATGGAAAGCCCACACCCTTGACTGGCTCTCGCCACCGGAAACTTCTTCCTGATGTGACACGTTTTCTTATTTTCTTCTCATCAATTTTATTTCTATGCCAACGAGGAGCTTGAGGAGGGCGGTAAGTCGTTTTCCTCCCCACAAAACCAGCCCTGTGAGGGGGTCAGGCTGAGAGGCAGCAACCCGCACCCGGCGACAGATTCATGATGGCCAGGCCTCAGGGTCTGAACCCTGGTCTCTGACGCTCTAACCACTAGGCCACACAGCCAGGCCAGGCCCCTTATTTGAAAGCTGCAGGTGGTGGTGGTCTCCACCCACCCTCCCCTCCAGAAAAGAATAGAATTTTGTTATTACGGTCACAGACCAGTTATGGCTCTCTTACAATATCAGGAAAATCATAAAACACAACGGGAATACGTTGAATTGCAACTGGGTATAACAGAGACAATTCAGATATAACAGCAGTTTAAAATATATATTAAATCTTGATCACTAAAATATAACCTAAAATTGACATTTAAAACCTTAATCATTTTGGTAGTACAGCTTGTTCCCTAAGTTTTACCTCCCCTCCAGATATTAGGGGTGGGGGTCTCCCAGAGAGAAACGGGTCTCTTCCGTAGCCTCCCCGAAACCCCCAAATTCTCCCTCTGGACAACCTTTTCCGTGGACTCTGCTCCCTTTAGCTGCCAAGTGAAAAGGTTCCCTTTCAGCCAGGCTTTTTCTGTACCCTTTTAAATGCTGCTGCTACTAGTAATTTAATTATTTGCACCCCCCTGTCCCCCTGACTGGGTTGCCCCAGCCACTCTGGGTGGCTTCCAATATAATATAAAAACAAAATGTGTTTGTGGGAGGGGTGGGACCCATTGGTTTGCTCTCGTTTTTATTATGCATGCTGTATTTTTCACCCTGTGCTCTTTTTCTGTGATCAGCGGACGGAGGGGGGGGTCTGCAAATTTAATAAATAAAAATAGAGGCGAAAGAGCAGAGCGAGGGCTGGGAATATATTTTTTTATTTCTTAAAATTTGCAGACCCCCTGCCTGGCCAAGGGGACTAGAAGCTTGCTTTCTTTTTCTACGGAAAGGGCCCTCGTGGCTAGAGCACTGGCTTGGCATGCAGAATGCCTCAGGAAGGGCTGGGACACAGCTCCCCACCCCTGTGCCTGAAACGCTGCCAGCCAAGGTGTGCAAATTGTTTTTGAAATAAATCAATGCAAAGGTGAGGCAGGGCAGGTACACCAGACTTACCGAGGAATCCCAGTAGGCAGGCTGCTGGAGGCAAACAGCCTCTGCTTCCCTGGAGAACTTCCTTCCTTTAGGATTCCAGGAATCATGAGTCACTCCCCGGTGATCAAAAGACTATCAGGAGAGGCGCTGGGCCTAGTCTAATACCTTTTCAATTCAGGAGAGAAGTTCAAGATACGGTATTCCATGATCCGAATAAGGCCAAGCCTTATGAGAAACAGCTGCATGCATTTCATCTGGAGGAGAGGAGATTCCACATCAGCTTTATAATTGATATTTATTAGCTTTTCAAAGAATAACAACAAAAATTTCCAAAAAAAGAAAAAGTAAAAAAAATTAAGGATACAAAAAACAAAAATAGTACATAGACAAAAAAAGAAAAGAAAAACCAGCCACAAAGGAAAAAAAAAAAAAAGAGAAACAGAAAAACAAAAATATGAAGTCCTTTACAATCTCTATTGACTTCCTTTCTAGACTTCCTCCCCCTCCCCTCTTTTGTTTCTTAATTTTTAATCTTTACAGCAAATCCTTTCTGTTTTTTCATAACGCTCTGTCATTACATTTCCTTATTCTATTTTCCCTCTTGTCATATAAAAACTTTAAATCTTTTTACAAATCATTTACCAATCCTTACTTAAGCCATGTAATTTCATTCAACATCCTTCAAACATTTATAAGCATTCCCAATATTAAAAAATAAAAAGGAAAGAGTATTAAGTCAAATTCAGTCCAGTCAGCTTCCAACCTCCCTTCCCCTGGACCCGGGTTTGTCAGTCCTTTTAACCTCTTAACCTGGTTGTCTCGTATCCGAGGCCCTCAAGTCTCTTTCTTGCCCCTTTCGCCACTCTTGTTGATGATTCCTTTCCAGTCGTGGATGCTCCAGCAAGAAAATGCTTTTGACCCTTTGCAGCAAGTCCATCCCAAACCCATTGCCCAAGCCAGACAGCAAGTAATACCACTTCAGATTTCCACAAAGCTTGGAGACTTCGGCTACTCCAATCCTCTGATAGACCATCACCAGACTCGGAAGGTCCAAATAACTATATGGAGGGGGGTCAATCCATCCCCCCATTTCCAAATCTGACCACATTTCATCTTTCCGAATCTGGTTTGACCCAAGTTCATTTGTCAAGTTCAAAGGCTGATCTTGCCCGTCCAAAGGTCCCTCCATCTCTGAAGCCTCCGTCACTACAGCAGGTTCATATACTTGTATAGCCTTTAACTGAATTTCATTTGTTTGCTGCTGTGCTCTGGTGACTTCCATCATCAAGGTCGTCTCCTGACGCATCTGGTCCAGCTGGGCACTTAGTTTTGAAAAACCTTCCATAAACAATTGTTCAAGCCTTTGTACTAGCATTGTTCTTCAAGGTCAAGAAAAAAAATTCTTTCCCACGACAATAGTCCAATAGTCCTTCTCTTTTAATCTCTCTGCATTGCAATTGCAACAATCTTTCTTTTTCCAGACACACTTTATCCAAAATTCCCCCTTCTAAATTCAAGAGGCAACAGTAGAATCAAAATGTTACCCTTCTTTTAACTAACTGTCAAGCTAGATAAACTTCAGAACGTCAATTCTGACAGCCCGCTCCTGGTTCAGGGCGGTGGAAAATTGCTTTATTTTAAACTCACTTCCGCAGGATTGAAGAGTCCAAATACAACCCCCTTCTTCTCCTGCAGTCGAAGGGGGGGTTCAGAAATCTTAGATGTTGAATTCTAGTTCTCTTAGAATTTAATTTTCAAGCTTTAATATATTTTGTCTTTGCTTTCTTCACATAACAAAAGAACGGAAGGCGACTTCCTGTTTAGACCTTTCCATTCCGAGTCCCAATTAAGTTCAATTTCAAGTCCAATATTATTTGTTTTTTCACCAATCTTAAAAGTGGTTCAGCTCTTCCACGATCAGGTACTCACGGATAGATATTTTAGATGCCAAATTGTCCAGGAAAAAGGCAGCGCTCTCCGATAACGGCAGTGCGGCTTTGCTGCACGGAGGAAGCAGACGACTCACAGCACCACGCACCTCCCACGCCGGCGCCCGTTGCCGAGCTCCTGTACAAGGGAGAGAGCGCTCTCGGTGCCCGCCGGTCCCACGTCCACAGGCTTCTTCCGCCTGTGGTTTTGCGGGTCCCCGCTGCGCCGTAGCGGCAGGACCCAAGCCTCCATGCAGCGGGTTCCCTTCAGTCCGAAGGGAATTCCGCCATTTCCGGAGGCGCCACCCCGGAAGTGAGGAGATTCCACATCAGGAAGACCTTTCTGACACTCTGGAGGTGGTGGACTCTCCTTCCTTGGAGGTTTTCAAGCAGAGGATGGGTGGCCATCTGTCCTGGATGCTTGAGCTGAGATCACTGCATTGCAGGGGGTTGGACTAGATGACCCTGGGGGTCCCTTCAAGCTCAATGATTCTATGGACTACTGCAATGCGCTCTATGTGGGGCTACCTTTGAAGGTGACTCGGAAACTGCAACTAATCCAGAATGCCGCAGCTAGACTGGGGACTGGGAGCAGCCAACGAGACTGCATAACACCGGTCTTGAAAGATCTACATTGGCTCCCAGTATGTTTCCAGGCACAATTCAAAGTGTTGGTGCTGACCTTTAAAGCCCTAAACGGCCTCGGCCCAGTATATCTGAAGGAGCGTCTCCACCCCCATTGTTCTGCCCGGACACTGAGGTCCAGCTCCGAGGGCCTTCTGGCGGCTCCCTCACTGCAAGAAGCCAAGTTACAGGGAACCAGGCAGAGGGCCTTCTCGGTAGTGGCGCCCTCCCTGTGGAACATCCTCCCAGCAGATGTCAAGAAAATAAACAACTAGTTTACTTTTAAAAGACAACTGAAGGCAGCCCTCTTTAGGAAGTTTTTAATGTCTGACACTGTATTGTTTTTAATATTTGGTTGGAAGCCAACCAGAGTGGCTGGGGAAACCCAGCCAGATGGGTGGGTTATAAATAATAAATTTGTTGTTGTTGTTGTTGTTATATAATATGAGCCTGCTGCTGAACCAGGCAGAGGGCCTTCTCAGTGGTGGCTCCCGCCCTGTGGAATGCCCTCCAATCATGCCCAGGAAATAAACAACTATCTGACTTTTAGGAGACATCTGAAGGCAGCCCTGCTCAGGGAAGTTTTTTATGTTTGATGCTTTACTGTATTTTTAATATTTTGTTGGAAGCTGCCCAGAGCAGCTGGGGATACCCAGCCAGATGGGCGGGCTATGAATGAATGAATGAATGAATGAATGAATAAATATTGCTTCAAACACATGTGAAAACATAATAAAATGTCAAACGTTTCCCTCACTCCCCCCCCCCTTTGTATCACTTTATTTCTTTATCATTGTAACTTTCTCAATAAAAATATTGACATAAAAAATTAAATGTCAAACGTCGACAGCAACGGTCCAACGCAAAATAGTCACAATAACTTTAAAATAAACAACATACAAAATAAAGCAATATTCAGCAATCCGTTAGAATGTAACAGTAAACAGTCAGGTTAAATGCCGGTGAACAATAATTAATGATAATTAAAGGAGATTTGTTAAACTGTAGCCAATAAAGATAATGGCCTGCAGATGTGGCTGAGTCTTTTCTGCCTTAAATCCTTCTGACTTGGCACAACTGGAGGGTGACTCACTCCTCTGGGAAACCCGTGTTACGAAAATTACCAGGGGGGGGGGCCACATCTTTAAAGTTGTTTCAGTGTTACAAATATTTATTCCTGAATGTGTCCTTTTGACTTTGACAGCTCAGGGAAGATACCTAGCTTTATAAATTCATATAAAATCAGTAGTTTGACCGATTCTCTTCATTCCAACGCCATTTTGGACTTAGAGGAAAGGACTCCTTCACCTTTCTCTCCCGCCATCAACCCTCCAGCGTGAGTGCCCAAGGGTGGCAATCTCTGAGCTGATGACTGATCATACAA